TCGTCCCTCTATCTAAACATGGTTCCATATTACAATATAATATAACAGTCATGTTTACAAAACTGATATACTGACAAAACGACAACTGCTATATTTTCTTCACTCTTGTTTATATTATTATCTCCTCAATAATTTAAAAATATTAAATTTCACCTTCAACATGTATCATATACGTGCAACGTGCAAAGTTATGTTCAAATTATAATATACATTGTCGTCTAGACTAACTCTTCTATGTCTTATTTATTTTACATACCAAACACACATAACGAGTAATGTATTGGTTGTATACAATGTCAAATAATGTGTGTGTTCTTTTGTGTAATCACGTTTTGGAACCGAATTTAATCTATTTGATACTGTTTGGTCTTTTTATGATCAGTGCCTACTTCTTTCAGACAAGAAGGGAATATTTACAAAACATGCGTTTTTATTTTTTTGTAATCCAGATTGCATTTACTATAGTCACTTTTCTCTTTCAAAAAACTTTAAATTTTTATACATGATCCCACATTTGTTGTTCTTATATAAGTCTAAAAATATTAAAAATACATAAGCATGGTAATTGTGCACAGTTTATTTTATAACCGTTTGAAGTCTTTTAACAAAATTTGAAAAAATCACTAAAATTTACATATTTTTTTTTTTTTTGTTCCTAATTAAAATATAAAACATTTCTATTTTTAATACCTATGACTTGAAAATGTCATAATAAAGTTCCTTACCAAATATTTTCACATTTTTATAAGAACATTACTGTATAATATATAATATTTAACATATTAAAAATACACATCATCTTTAAGCACCCGTCGATGATAGTAAAAAATATATAGCCGAACATGATAACGGCCATCGGAAGTATCGGTGTTTTATCTATATTGACGTCATGTCGTCGTCATTTTACAACTGAAAATATTGTAAAAAAATCAAGCTCCTGGCTCGCAAAAAATAAACTATAATAAAAGTGGGAGTAAGTGTGGTGGCGATGGAACGTGTAGTCGTAATTATGCATTGTTACATACGTATGATGTTACGTTGTCATGCTGTAAAAGTTGTATATAATAATGTGTTTTACTGATATTTACAGTACCAATATCGATGATTGCTAGTAATAATCAATTTAATATTACGACTTAGTAGAAACGTGGTCATATAAATTGTAATATCCCGACGAGTTGTAGATATTTGACGGGCTGATTTTTTGCAAAATATTATACAGTATGCTTTCAATCGAATCACAAAAACACCTATTTCAGCGAACGCCAAAGTCTTACTATATATTTGGTCTACAATCGTACCAACTCCGAATTTGGGAGTGTACACTTAGCGGAATATTATTACATATTATTATCCGTTTCGCGTGCGGAACTTTACACTGAGCGCAAGGACACACTTTACATTACACTACTCATCGAACTCTGTATATTATAAAATTCGAGAAATCAAAAGTGGCGCAGCGACTTTTGTTACTTTATGAAACCCAGTGGAGCAGTGGTTGTCGTAGTTAAACAAATTATTGATAGGTACATTTTTCGATAGATGTCTCCGTTGTAATCTTCAATTATGAGACATATTTTTCAAAGTAAATAAATTTAAAAATATTGAATACGTCTCTTGTACACAGTGTCTAACCTTCGCGGCGCAGCCTAACATTCGCCTCACATCGTCAACCGCGAATCGTTGAATGACACCCACCGAGGAATTTATCAATGCAGAGGATCAAGTGAGCCTGATCCCTTGTCGGGCCTTGTATAATACTTCACTTGAATATGGTGACTTAGTGTTGAAATTGATCTGTGCTATTCTGATGACATCGGAAAAAAGTTCGATATAATTGATGAATATGCTCACGGGAAGCAACTTAAATCAGAATGGCCTACGTAATGGGGCATGTCTATAAGCATGCAATATATATACAGCAAATGCTCGCCAATCACTTAATGACCTTTGCGAAAAGTTTCTTTCTCTCATTTTAAATCATTCATACCAACATATACCATGAACCTACTCACACCATTCTACGACGGCATTGACTGTTAAGTTTAGAAAAAAATTGTTCAACCTACCGAATTAATAAAATACAATTCATTATAAAAATATAATATAACACTTTTATCTTTAGAAATAGATGCTGATCCACTCGACTTTTATATTTCCTTCATACGTTTGTTTTGTCGTTGAATTAAAATTGAACGTATTCATTGCAGTGACCTACTCAAAAGGTTAAATTCGAAACCTATTACACCTACGGTTTGACTGACTTCGCCAGTTTTTTCAATTCTTCTTAAATTTTACAAAATAAAAAAAACTGTTGTTTTTTATTGGTTTTTGTTGTACGCCGTTTAGTATAAAAACTGAAGTTACTTAAATATATAATATATTAAACGAAATAGATAGGTAGGTACGTGTTCCAAATAACAATGTGGATAACAAAAATAATATATAATTGAACTAGACTATGATGCGGTATATATATTAATGTGTACATAGTTTTGGTCCTAAAATTGTTAATCCACAAGCTCATCGTTTTAATATTCCGCAAGAGACAAGACGCGTCTATCTAAAGTCTAAACACATTTAAAACGACTTTGAATTTGTAATGTATTGTTTCATAGATATACCTATGTATACTTTTAATAAATTATATTTACTATAATATAATATGAAATATACGCACGCGGTCCTATACACGTGTCGTATTTTCGTTCACTTGGCTGTAAAATATGTAGGTCACATATTATAATAAATAATTATTAGTTAATACATAAATCGCTCACGTTTGGTTTTTTAATAATTTAAAACGGCTGGGAAATTCTCTATGAAACGCCCCGACAGATGGCCATCCATTAGCAAAACTCAAAGAAATTACGTGCGTTTTTACGTCAAATGTACGCTGTTAAAACTTTCGGCTGACTGATAGCAGTTCCATGTAGGAAACACATATTTGTAAATCCTTATAGGTATATATGCATCAGACTTCAAAGTGACCGACCCTTGTTTTATTGGATAAGTCACGCATACCTGCAGCATTATTAATATTATATTATATTCCTACTATTATAACGATATAAATTATACAATACATGTCCATTGTCCTGCATAGATGTAGGTATAATGTATATATGTGGACGTTTTTAGTCTAACAGTAAATAGGTAGGTACCTATTTGTAAAAAAAAAAAAAATGCATTCGAATAAAATGTTATACCCTAGGGCTTAGATGGTTATTTATAGATAACATTTTATTCAAATAATAACCCCTTACTCCCTGTGTTTTCTGCGTATATAGGCACAGTTATTTGTTTATTTAAATGTTAATTTTAAATGTTGTTATGTATTTTGTAATAACTTATTACTTACATATATGTTTAATATACACATAATATCTAAATTACAAAACTGCGTCATATATTTACATGTAATATAATTTTACTTAGGTATTTCTGTGTTTCGTCGTTAATAATGTATATTGTAGAAAGAATTATGTATTAGACGAATTGTGTGAACTATAACAATCTAAGCTATACAGATTTACAATTTGTATGATAAATAATTATCAGTTTTTAAAGTGAAAGAAGAACGAAGTTATTGACTAAATGCTAAAGTATTACCTATTTATTTTCGCGTTTGAATATAAAATCTTCTAGAAACAAATTGTTGTGCCCCTTATAATATAACTAATCAAAAATTGAATTTATAACTATTTTATTACACATACCGTTTTTTGTTGAAACTGAGGTGGGAACCATTAAAAGTATTATTTCCGACCCAGTTGAATCGTGTATTGAACAATAACAAGAAAATTATTTAAAATTAAAATACAAATATACTATAATATACGCTGTGGTGGCCAGAGCTATCATTTACATAGTAAAAAATAAATTTGCAATAATATTTGAAGCTATCATACAATCATAACTATCATAACTATCATACAAACTGTCTCGTACGCTCTTTGTTCTCATTGACAGACAAGATTTCCTCTAGCTAACTTTAGAACCCTTTATATGATTCTTCAACCTCTTGGGGAGTCGTAGCCCTCTTGATCATGTCTGTGGGAAGGTCCGAAAACACGGGCCCAAATTTGGCATATCGTCTGCGGTCAATACTATATATGCGCCTACCTATAATTATATCATATTATCTGATACGTTGAATATAGAAAAAACTACGAACAAATTGTAAAAAAAAAAAAACCCTAAACTTAGTTTCGCGGATCCATAATAAACATATTCCCGATCAGTGACGTCTTTAAAATGTGGTGATAAATCGCTTTTATGCATTAAATAATAATAAAATAAAAATATTCCCACTACATTTTAGTAGTGTCCCATCTCACATACAAACCAGAACCATCATACATTTTATATTTTTTATACGTATACCGCCTATATTTATTTCAGTATAAATTAATATTAAGGGGTACTGTTCCACATATTTTTATTAACATCCTATTTATAATGAAATAATATTAACAATTTACTATAAAGATTTTTATTTGTTTTAATAATTTCTTATGATTCAACACGTTTACGTATTTTAGTGTTAAATGCATTTTTTTTGCTCATAATCAACGAAGTCCATAGCATATTTAAAAGTTGAAATAGGCCTAGATATTATTGTGTTACAGTCAAAAAGAGTTTACCAAAAAAAATATTGCTATAAAATGGTTAACGATTTAATTAAGGTTATATAATATTATGGTACGTGAAAAATCTTCCGAAAACCATAGTGGCTAATTCGATTCCTGGAATATTCAAATTTAGTTTAGCCTTTTTCACCTGCTACTACAGTATTCAGTGAACCACTTAATTTAAACTTTAAAGTTTAAACGTAACTGAAAGTGGAAGTCCAACCTCTGCAGAATTATCAGATACATATTTTTTAAATTTTTTTCAACTTATTGATCCGAAATTTTAAATAAATAAAAATCCTTTATTATACTATATTAAAATATTGTTTATTTAATTCGGATTGTTTTGTTGTGTTCTACAAACAGGTGCCATTCGACGACCGACGGTTATTGTTTCCGCCAGGGCCGGCCGCAGTACTAATATCAGCTGCGTACGCTATATACCTGATGCTATTTCCTCATTGGATGGCGCCGCTCGTATTAGCCGGCATGATTGCGGGTAAGTGCAGTAAAATGATAAAATATCATCAAATCGGTATATATAAGCTATAAAGCCTCGCGGATGTCATCATATTTTAAAGGTTTAAAACAGTAGGGAATTTAAGAGAGATGCCAACATCTTAGGTTATGTTGGCCCAATTAAAATAGATAGGTTAACAAGGATTTAAGAGAAAATATCACTTCAAGGATACTCGTACTTCGATATTGCTTTAATAAAGCTACTATATATATTATATAAACCGAGTGATTATTTTATCAAAGTTCATTATTTCAAAAACGATAATAGTTTTGAAATAATGATTGTTTAAGTACCTAACCAAGTACCTATTTTAACTCCAATAACAAAATGACGATTGTTCAACACTTCAACTGAAAGGTCATTTTCAGCCCTTCAAACGCATTAAGACTTATTTTATATATAATATTGCTAATATGGGAGTACAAGGCTACATTAGCCATCATAAATGTATAGAAACTTACCACAGTATTAAATTTAAGTGATTCAACTCGCAGGGAGGGTAAAGGGGCATTCTCCCCCCCCCAATCGCCGTATTTTCCCTTTGTTTTACACTGTGTTTAGCCAATTTTTGTACTTTTGCTATGTTACTTCGTAATTATTATTCCACTACCTAATTTATCTTTGTTGTCTTGAAAAAAAGTTGTCGAATATTTGTGGGGTGTGAAAAGGTAATATGATTGGTGGAATGTAAGGAGAGAAGTGCTAGGAACACCTTGACCTGTACTAAAAATGTCTAAATAAATGCAACACTAAATGTGTGGTAAGTATTTTTTGGTAATTAGGTACAAATTATTATTTACAACGTAATTGTTCACTTCGGTGATAATGAAATGGCCCATCTAAATTATAGGTAATATTCCGTTTTTATTTTAAAAATAATAAATTAAGTTCGGACGACGCTATAAATTGATCGTCCGAGTGTAGTTAATATAATTATAGTACGTCAAGTTCAACTGTAAATTATTATAGTGTATCGTTATAAAAACCGACATTAATCTTGTACAATCGTGTTCGCAGGCTATGTAACTTATGATTTAATACATTTTTACTTACACTACGGATGTCCCAGGGAAGGCTCGTACCTGTACACAATGAAAAGATACCACAACCAACATCATTTCGCGCACCACGAGAGCGGTCAGTATACAATCACAACAACCTAATAATATACTTAATATTATATAAAAATGTAAATTTGATGTATATAGTCATCCCTACGTTTGCACAGTCTAATATTATAATTTATACAAGAATTTAAGAAACTCTTGAGTAAGTGAGGGGATTTTAATATTTCGTAAATACTTTTATCCTCCAAAAAAATATATTTATGGATGATGTATATTTTTTGTTTATAAGAATTAGATAAGTACTCCTGGGCTTAAAACATATTTCTTGTCATGCCTGCACCGAAAGTTAAGTTTTCCATGACGGTTGAAGCTTTTGAAAGTGATATTTTTCCGTCCAGCGTGCGGTAAAGTGGGAATCCCCAAAAGTGCCGGGTACAGATAAAATGGAAATCCCCAAAAAGTACTGAGTGCACATATCACGCGTATCCTCTGCACAACCAGATATTAAAATCTATACCACGGTCCTTACAAAATACAAAACATAAACTTTTGGTTACATCTTATATTCATATTATAACCTCCATGCATGACGCTTAAAATAAACAAAACCAAATCGTTTCTCTCATGAAATATTGTTTTTATAGAATAGTCTGGTTGTTGCATAGATCCAGCCTGCATTACATTTTCCGTGATAGCGTGATCAATGAACGCAGATGCGTGACAAAAAATAGTATGTGTGGCTCGTGCGGGAAGGCAATTTCAGTCTGCGACTGAAATATCTCACTTCCGCCCTTGCCACACAATATACTACTGTAACATTATTTTCATTAAAACTCTAGCTAGTGCATATTGTTATTATAGTTTAAACTTTAATTTTTATGAAATAGAGGGATGTACAATGTAAAAAAATATTAAAAAATGTAGTGAAATGATGGTATCCGTTGGCTCCCAATCATTTCGATCATAAAATATTTTTTGCGCTTTATTCGATTACTCATATATGTATACAAGCCGTGTCAGAAGGATTTGACAGTTTTACATTTAGAAGTTACATATGAATGAATCAAATGATCGTGATACACCCTGCATATATATTACATAATATGTATGTACCTACATTGTACACCCTGTATAGTATATTATATACGTATGTATAAAAATATTTTAAACGGGCCTTGTTATCCATATGTTTCAGGTTTCGGTATCAGCAGCCAATTTTGGGACCACATATTCGGCACAGCGATTGCACTGAAAAAGCTTAGCCGATGTTTAAAATGGTACTAACCTACTACCCATAAACTCGTGCCTTATAAATTATATAAAAAAAAAAACAAATTAAATTATAATATAATATATAAACATATTCATATATATAATATATATATATGGTATATATGTATTGATATATACAATTATTATTATCATTATTATTATTATTATGATACAAAAGAAAGAAATCACACCAAATCTCGGAGTGCCTAATGAAACTTAAATATTACAATTAATTTAACAAAGAATGACCCGCTCACGGAAGCAGTCATAACACAATGGTATATTATATACATGTAACTCGTCTCATTTTGTTATGCATACAATATATATATATATAAATGTATTTATTGTCGCTTTTCATTGCTATTTTTTCAAAGGTATTACAAAACTTAAAAGCTGTTTTGTTGTTACTCTGTACATTATCATTATTATTGTTTTTTTTTGTCTTTTTAAATAATAAAAACAATATTATTTATACTTTGACTGGTTGGTGTGCAAAAGCTTTTTACGAGTACGTATCCCACGAGATCCATTTTTCTGATAACAAATACGTCCAATAGTCACAGTGACCTATTTTTTACGACTCACGTCGTCTACTATATAGTGTGTGTACTTCGTATTTTGTTACCTATGCGTATTGTTTGTAGTTTCCATTACTATTATTATTTTCATTCTCCCGCTGATCCTTTCGCCAATATTTTCTCGTCTTAATGTTTACTACCTACCAATATAATAGGGAGTGGTAATCAGTGTCATTTTCACCGATGTAAACGATTGTATTTGCAGAATATATTTTGTACAATCTCATAAATAGAAGAGCTAAATTCGGGAATATGAATTATTATGATACGCCTGTGAAACGTTTGTGAAACGTTTACGGTCGTGAATGAATAAAATTGTGTTTTTGCTTTGAGAATATAATTTTTTACGACTGTTTGTAAAATAAATCGATAAAGTTCCCACCGAAGCCATACCTGTCTGCCAAAGCACAGAGTATAGGGTGGTCCTACGTAAGACACTAATTATTTAAAAAATTACTATCGTTTTTGAAAATATTGTTTTTTACATACCAATTTAAAGTTATTTTAATAAATATTTTGATAAACTTTATGATTAACTCTATTTTTTTAACTTTGTAGTAAGCTGTGCGCATCAGTATCTTGATGTATCTGTACTCTGTAGATTGTTATATTGTAGTAAATAATGTATTAAATATAAACTGCTCATAACTTGTTAGAAAATTAAAATATCAAAAAAACATAACCTTTCAATGTGCCCTTTATAATATATTTACATTTAAATTTGATGATGATCAATTCGCTCTAATATTAAACATAACAGAGACACAGAGTAAAATAAATTCTTCCCAACGTCTAAAATTGGCCATATGCGTTAGTAAGACGGAGGCAAGACATGCTGGTATAACGTTCTCTTAAAAGTATAACTTTAGGGTGTCGGTGCCGATCATTTATTAAGGAGTAAAATTTAGGCAATTAATTCACATATTGTATTTGCCTTTCGCGGAACGTGCATGTGTGTGAGGACTGAGGATGTAAATCGATATTAGTGTGAGTGAGGTATTATTACTCGCGCTGATAAAAATATGTACGCACGCGCATGCACAAGTCAGTGCTAGACTTCAACGACTATTATCGAAGCACTATTTTGATGAACATAAATAGTTCACAAGAAAAACTCTCATGCCTCGTAGATATGTCGGATTTTGGTCAATTTGTTTTTGTCTGAAAGATGACAAGTTTCTGCAGGTCGGATTAAAGCTCGAATTTTTATTTTACTTTAAATAATAGTAGAAAAATACGTTTTAAAAAGGACAAATATTGTGCATTTTTCAAATGCATATTCCAGCTTCTATAATTATAATTTTCAAAATAGGGCTTTGATCCGACCTACAAAGTGTTCTCTACTTTTAGATAAAAAAAAAAATTAACGAAATCCGACAGTTCTACAGAGCGTGAGAATTTTTCCTGTAACACATGTTTTTGTACCAAAAAACGCACCGGCTCCGACCCCTTAAAATATATTATACTTAATTTAATTAACAAATTGGGTGGATTGTCGTTGATTAACCGTATTCCTGGCTTAACTCCTGACGGCCAAGACGTGTTATGCCGTAAAATAATCGTAAGTACCAGTACGCACGGCGAACTACATATTATTCAAATTTTAGTGACAGCTGGTGTGTGAGGTCTAGAGTTCAAACGAAACAAAAATTGTTTAAAATAGTTTAAGACCTACAGACAAACCACGGCATCAACCATCAGCAACAGGAGTAAAGACACCATTTCGCACTGTCAATCGCAGATCATTCAAAACACGTAAACAACTTTTTATGAAAGACCGCATACATTTTGTATTTCATATTTTGAAGTCGAATATTTCCGAGGTATTTTGATGCTCAAAAATTCAATTTTGAACTAGTATAGTATAGTATATTCAGTATTGGTTATAACTTAAAACTACTATCATTCTTTAAAGTTTAATCTTAAGGCTTAAGGCCTTAAGGGGTCATGGTTTAATAGTTTTCGAAATAACGATAATAATCACTGACTTGCGTTAAGAGAATCACCCTGTATATACCCGTCTACCAATTCAATAAGCTCAATACATCAATTTATAGAACAATGGATTATTCGTCTACTAATGTGGATAGGTAGGTAAATAATTTATACATTATACGTATTTATATACCTACTATACTACAACGCGTATAAAACAATTTACCTACGTATGTAATACCCCGATGCTTATACACATTATATATTTAATTATATTATTTACTAAGTAGGTCCGCGCCCACAGTATCCAACAGTAATTTTCAATGTCGGGTAGACGCAGACTCTAATTTTAGTACAGGTGCTGTTCAGTTTTTTTTTTCTTATTATTTTTATAGAAACGTTTCCACGGAGATACCTGACTGCCGAGTAAGACGACGACGGTATATAGTATATACTATACAGCGGGCGCGGCGGCACATTTAATAATATAATGTGTTTGCCAATTTTATTACAAACGTATACAATGTGCTTATGCATATTATACATTGATAATAATGATATATTTTAATATTCAATATTCTCGTCGTACACGTGAGCGTACCTGTTATCTGTTAACCACCATAATATGATGATGATAACAATTTGTTATAATATATTAATATTATATTGTATTTCTATCGCATTATTACAAATCTTCTACTCAAGGCCGTACCCAGACATTTTTTTTTTTGGGGGGGGGGGTCCAAAACATGTTTATTGTAATTTTATTGAATTTAGGTTTTAATATTTGGTTAAAAATAAGACATTTTGAAGAAATTTCGGGGGCGTCAAGACCCTCTGGACCCCCCTCAGATACTGAGCTTCTACTGTATATTATGTAAAATACATTATCTTTTCGGGCCTATCATAGTACATTTTATTTACCAACCCTCTTATGCGACGGCGGCGCGATTCTATAACCTGTAACTTTGTTATCGATTAGATTACAATTTTTAAACACAAAACGAAATTACCTCAACGGTTAATATTATTATTGTTATTATTATAATTCGGGTGAACGGCGCCCGTCGTCTATTCTATTCGCGTGTTGTATTATTTTTATTATTTTTACTATTATAATGTGGGTTGTGGGTATATTATAGTGCTGTGGACGTGGTGTGTGTATATTAATTATTATTATGATTAAGGCCAATATACAGTGCTCGAATTGGTGGTGGGGACGCAGGGGGACGGAGCTCGCCTTCTAATTTTAATTTTTTTTAGCGTACCCCTTCTTATATTTTTAATTTGCACGAGGGGACGATACGTCCCCCATGTAAATTATTATTGAAAAACTTGTAAATCTATAGTGGAACCTTTTGGTGGCCGTCTCCCGACCCCCGCCGACCATGTCGTTTCTAGTCCATGGTTTGAACAAAATAATATAGTTCAATGAATATAATATAGTGCAGTTCAATATTGTGTCTACTAAAAGAAATGCTTTGAACCAAAAATATATTTCTTCTCTTATGCTGATTAATTGTGTGGGGCCACCAGTGCACATGTTTGTACCTGAGCCTTATGTTGTTTCATGGATGAAGTTGGGTGCAATACGAATGCGTTCGGTAAATTATTTTAACTTCTTAGCAACGTTGCCAAATATACAGGTGCGAAATAAAACTATAACAACAAAAAATGTACTTAAGTTTTTAGCCTTAGTTGGAAATCGGTATCGGGGCTTTAAAATTTAACTTAAAAATATTAAATGTAATTTATCAACTTTTTTCAATTATTTACTTTTTAATTTATTTATCTATTCGAATATTTAACCATTTTTAATGAATATTTTTTTTTATAACGATAATTATTTACTTTTATGACGTAGACTGCGTATATTTAACGATATTTTTTTTATAATAACAAGTATTTAAGTAAATGTATTAAAAACCTTCCTGAATGGATGAATTTGTATCTGCATTTAAATATGAAAATTAATTACGAAATAACTGAAATTTGTTACAAAGAATTTGGCAACGTCGCATTCAATTTCACGTGCAATTGTACGCTTTTGAATAGTCAAAATCATGTTCTTTGTTATTCCGGAACTGCGCTCAATCGTATCCCTAAAAAGGTAAAACGCGCGCAATCGTACTCCACCGACGAAGTTAACTGTCCTAAGCTACAAAAGAATGAAGATAATAGTCATTCATAAGTAGAACTGTGGAATATATTAAAAATGTAAACAATTACATTTTGTATTTTCAAAATAAAATCAAAAGATTTGTTTGTACCTAATTTAATAATATTTATTTATTGTTGTCAGTGGCGTCCGCAGGGGGGAGGCTAACGGGCTGAAGCCCCCCCCCCAATTGCCCGTATTATTATTACTTTTTCAAAAAAATATTAATCAAGTTTAAACTGTCAACTATAGTAAATCTCATATATGTCTTACCAGAATGAATTCATTTTTGAAAAAACATTGAATTTGCATACCAATTTTCATAAATTATCTGTAAT